TCTACCCCGCTTTCTCTTTCCCACCCCCTCGCCGTAATTTCTCTCTTCCTCTATCTCTCCGTCCCTCCGTCTCTCCGTCTCTCCATCTATCGTCCTTTCGGTTCGTCACTCGGATCTCCCTTGCCCCTTTTATCCCTAATCCGCGAGGGGCCCTCCCCTTGTTCCTCTATCACGTAGGATCGCTCCTCGTTTCGGACGAGTAGCGCGGAGGCAAAGTTAGCCGGACACGTAAGTCGCCGGTCGTTAGTCGCCCGACGACGATAGCTCGTCGAGCCATCCAGAAGGAGAAAACAAGAGAAACGAGAAGGGCGGAGAGGCAGGGGGCCGAGAATGAGAGTCTTCGAGGAGCGCGGAACGGTGGAGACGGGGGACACGTAGACGGTGCTCTGTGCATGTGTCTACGTGGCTGGCTGGGGAAGGAACCAGAAGACGGAGGAGAAAAGAGAATTCCTGTGTACCTATCCCAGCGCGGGCCAAAAAGGGACAGCAAGAGAACCGGAGCGGTCTCTCTGTGTGTACAAGTGTTCCGTCGCGAGCTAAACGAAGAAGAACGGCGCGGAGAGAGCGAGACAGGGAAAGATAGCGCCCAAGCTAGAGAGGGACAGAGAGAGAGAGAGAGAGAGAGACCGTGACGGCAGGAAAGCTAAGACAATCAATAAGATCGCCCGGTCTGAAGGAGCTCGTGCTCGGATTCGTCGAGTTGCTTCGGCACTTCCTGCCAGGGACCGTGAGGGTCCCGCGTTTAACAGCTAAGTCGTAGTGTACAGTCGTTAAACGCAACGTTCTCGAATTAGGATCCCCCCGAGGAAACGCACGAGCGAGGAATGGAGTCGGACGATCCGCTGAAAGGGAAACGATAGGGGCAGGGAGATCAGTCGTAGCACCGGGACGCCGGGAAAGGGGGATCGCGGGGGACGACGGTGAGATTTCGTTGAAAAACTGACCAGGGGGATGAGACAGCGGTGTACTACAAGAAAAAAGGGGGGCGCAGAGGGAAAGGGTGGTGGGAAAGAAAAGGGTATCTCCTCGAGGGGTCGATACCTACTCTAGTCAGCGGCAATCGGATAGGTCAGGATAGACAGGGATAGGCAAGGATAGTCGCAGCCGAAAGGCGGTATACAGTGTACAGAGCCAGCCAACCAGCGACGCCCTCGATCCCGAGGATGCATTCCGACGCTCGCGCGGGACAGTAATTTCTGGGTACCGACCACTAAATTCCGACGATCACTCGACGCCGTCGTTGTCCTCGTCGTCCTCGTCGGCGGCGTTGTTTCGCACGGGGAAAATTACGATCGCGGATCCAGCGCGATCGCCACGCCGCCGGTTCGTCCTTCGGGGGTGAATCGCGCTGGATCGGGCCGGTGATCGATAAACGCGAAGAAACGGAGAGGCAGGATCCTTTTCCGGAGGGTGGAAAAATCGCGCGCTGGCTCGCCCTGATCGTGCAGAAGAGGAAAAGCCGCGAGGTGACGGGGTCGCCGCTCTGGCGGATATCGCCGGAACTAGGAATTATCCCCATCGGGGCTTACCCGCCAGGGTGCACTTCTTTCGGGGGTATTCCGATGGAGAGAGGAGAGCTCGCCGAGCCCCGAGCTCCTGGAACGCTCGAACTGGGCCGCGGCACCAGTCGATAAGGAAGACAACCTGTTTAACAATGCTTTCCGGGCGGGAAATACAGTCGTTCCGAGGGCACGGCTGTTCCAGGATAACAGCCCTAGCCGGGCGTGCAGGGGTTGATCGATTCCGCGGCAATCGTGCGAGGATCCCTTGAACCTTGAGTCCCGGGATCAATGGGGGTTAAATATACTCGGTTCGCCGAGCGAAAATAGCGACTGTACACTGTTAAGATAAATTTGCTGAATGGCGGAATAGTTGGAAGACACGGAAAGGAAGATGGAGATTAGAAAACGGGAATCACGAAGAATTTCAAGGTCCCTTCGAACCCAAGGTTTATCGAACTCGACTTCGCATTAATTACGAAGCTACGAGCTCGGAAATACACGATGCACTTGGAAAGAGTGCAGATTTGCATCCTCGAACAATAGGAGTTTCGCTTGGACAGTTTCCCCTATCTTCGATCTCGACAGAGATATTCAGCTGTTCCGTTTCTTCCGACTCACCTTGTATATCTACCGATAAGATCTACTTTAAGCGACGGAGGTGGAGGCGCGGAAAGGTATACGTATTTCTGTAAGGCCTGCACAGCGTGCTGAGAACGACAGGTGTAACGGATATAAGTAAACTTGAAGAAAATTCTATCGCGCGGTCGAAATAAAGCCAGCGGTCGCGATTATCGTTGGACTTTGCACTCCTTTCGAGCCGATGCTTCTTTGGTCATCGGGGATGCGTTCAATGGTCTCGAGCCACACAAAACAAACCCGATACGAATCGACGACGGGTTAACGCGAAGCCAGTTTTCAAGGGAACTCGTGTTCCAGCGGGCTGAACGCGGGACGAAACTTTACGCAGAAGTTTGCAACTGCGACGAAAGCTCGGTCGCGTGGGAATTCGTGTCAGTATCGACTGCCGCGAGACTGTTCCTCTTCCACCCACCCCCACCGGCCGCGTCGCTTCTTGCGTTTTCCCGGTCAGGAGCAGGCAA